TTCCGCTTCGGCGGTTATCTGAGTCCATAGAATGGCGCTGGACAACCTCATACATCACGCGGCGTCCTGCCTGCGACTCTCCGAAGACTCCGGCTATTGTGCAGCTTGAGGAGACGCCGCACAATATATGGAAGGAAAGAGGAAACGTCTAATTAGCTGCCATTGTCCCCGATCCCTTCACTTTCCTTCCTTCTTCTGGATCACCGTGTCACCTCGCCTGTTGTCATCCCGCGCCTGAGCTGTTCATGCACACAATGCGCCTCTCCGCGGCACAGGCACCCCGCCATGAAGGCCATTCCTGTCCGTCTCCGGAGCTCTGGCAGCATTCCCCGCAGTGTGCATAGAAAAATGAAAAGATGGCTGGATTCTCAGGAGTGTCGGAATTGAAAAGGATATTTCAGTTTTTTGTTTTTTTTTTTTTGTTTTGTTTTTTTTTTGGTTTTTTTTGTTTTTTTTTTTTTGTTTTTTCTTTTTTGTTTCTTTCTCTGTTTTTGTTTTTTTTTTCTGTTTTTGTTTCTTTCTGTTTTTTTATTTTGTTTTTTTGTTTTTTCTGTTTTTTTTTTTTTTTTGACTGTTTTTTATTTTTTTTTGCTTTGTTTTTTTTTTTTTTGTTTTTTTCTGTTTTTTTTTTGTTTTTGTTTTTCTGTTTTGTTTTTTTTATTTTGTTTTGTTTTTTTTTTTTGTTTTATTAAAAGCCAGCAGCTACAAATACTTTCTGTTGACTTTTAAAAAAATCAGGGACTTACCAGTCCTTCAAGTCCGGCCCCTTTCCCTAAGCTGATTCTTGTTCCCCAGCGCCGCCATCTTGGATTTGGGAGCAAACGGTGACTTCCTAAAGGATCACCGTGTGCACCCTGTGACGAGACTGGTCCTGAAGCATTCTGGGACATGCGATGTTTCCCAGGAGGCTTTGGGCATGGAGTGTAGGGAGGGGGCAGGCCTAAGCGCACATCATTCTTGCCTAGGCAAGAGTTGAGGAAGGGGAAGCCAGTCAAAAAAGGTTCCTTCTTCCTGACGTGTTCGGGGCGGGGAGGAGGAATGGTGGCATTTTCACGTTTTGAGTGCAGATCTGCTGTAATAGCCACACACAGGAGGGCACTCATCTTAGGTTTTTTTTTTTTTTTTTTTTTCTCCCATATTAAAGGTTTGTTAAGGTTGGTGGTAACGTTTTTTGTTTGCTTCAATCTGGAAATGCATTTTCATGTCTATGTGAATGCAAAACTCACTTGAAACAAGTCAAATGCAGGTCCGAAGGAGGTCACCTGCAGGTCTGATGCACCTGTGAGTGAATAATCCGAATGATCTCAGAAGAAAGTCAGGAGCCTAGCCAAAAGGCAGTTTCCCTCTGGAGGTGGGCTGGGCTGTAAGGTGCTTCTGCATATGACAGGGAGGGACACTGGAACAGAGAGCAGGCTGGGAGTGGAAGTGTTGTCTGGAGAGGTGTTGATCAGTAGCCAAGGAGGTGGACAGCGGGCAGGGTGACAGGCCCAGGAGTCTATATTAGGAGACATGCTGGGGTCACACCAGGAAGTCAGTCAGCAGAGGTAGCTGAGGCCAAACCAGGAATCATCCGAGAGAAGCCATGGTCAGGAAATAGCCAAGGTCTAACTGGCAATCGGTAAAGGAAAGTCCTGGTCAGGAACTAGCTGAGGTCAAACTGGGAATCGGCAGAGACCTGCTGGGGTCAGGAACTAGTGAGGTCAAATAAGGAATCAGTAGAGGAATGCTGTGGTGAGGAATTAGCCAAGGTCTAACTCGGAACCATCAGAGACAATCCATGGTCAGGAACTAGTCCAGGTCTATCTGAGAACCATCAGAGAAAAGCCGTGGTCAGAAACTACCTGAGGTCAAACCAAGAATCCGTAGATGAAAGCTGTGGTCAGGAACTAGCCAAGGTCCAACTGGGAACCATCAGAGACAAGCCGTGGTCAGGAACTACCTGAGGTCAAATCAGGAATCAGTAGAGGAAAGCTGTGGTCAGGAACTAGCCAAGGTCCAACTGGGAACCATCCGAGGTGTGTTGAGGTCAAATCAAGAATCAGTAGAGGAAAGCTGCAGTCAGGAACTAGCCAAGGTCCAACTGGGAACCATCAGAGACAGTCCGTGGTCAGGAACTAGTCCAGGTCTATCTGAGAACCATCAGAGAAAAGCTGTGGCCAGGAACTACCTGAGGTCAAACCAAGAATCCGTAGATGAAAGCTGTGGTCAGGAACTAGCCAAGGTCCAACTGGGAACCATCAGAGACAAGCCGTGGTCAGGAACTATCTGAGGTCAAATCAGGAATCAGTAGAGGAAAGCAGTGGTCAGGAACTAGCCAAAGTCTAACTGGGAACCATCCGAGGTGTGCTGAGGTCAAAAATCAGGAATCAGTAGAGGAAAGTAGTGGTCTGGAACTAGCCAAGGTCCAACTGGGAACCATCAGAGACAGTCCGTGGTCAGGAACTAGCCCAGGTCTAACTGGGAACCATCAGAGAAAAGCCATAGTCAGGAAAAAGACAAGGTTTAACTGGAAACCATCACAGACAAGCCATGGTCAGGAGCTAGCTGAGGTCAAAACCAAGAATTCGTAAGAAAGCTGTGGTCAGTAGCCAAGCTCCAACTGGGAACCATCAGACCTGGACTAGTTCCTCACCATGGATTGTCTCTGATGGTTCCCAGTTAGACTTGGCTAGTTCCTGAACCACAGCTTTCTTCTACTTATTCTGGTTTGACCTCCTCTAATTCTTGACCACGGCTTGTCTCTGATGGTTCCCAGTAAGACCTTGACTAGTTCCTGACCACGGCTTGTCTCTGATGGTTCCCAGTTAGACCTGGACTAGTTCCTGACCACAGATTGTCTCTAATTGGGAACCATAAGAGAAAAAAAACCGTTATCAGGAAATAGACCAGATTTAACTATGAACCATCAGAGACAAGCCGTGGTCAGGAACTACCTGAGGTGAAACCAAGAATCAGTAGATGAAAGCTATGGTCAGGTAGTAGCCAAGGTCTAACTGGGAACCATCAGACAAGTCGTGGTCAGGAACTAGCCGAGGTCTAAGTGGTAACTATCAGAGACAAAACGTGGTTAAGGACTAGCCATGGTCCACTTTGGAACCATCTGAGACAAGCTGAGGTCAAACCAGGAATCAGTAGAGGAAAGCTGTGGTCAGGAACTAGCCAAGGTCTACCTGGGAACCTTCAAAGACGTGTTGAGGTAAAACCAGCAATCAGTAGAGGAAAGTTGTGGTCAGGAACTAGCCAAGGTCCAATGTGGAACCATCAGAAGCAAGCCACGTTCAGGGACTAGCTGAGGTCAAACCAGGAGTCGGCTATTTCCTGACCACAGCTTTCCTCTACTGACTCCTGGTTTGACCTCAGCTAGTCCCTGAGAGGCGTTTGTCTCTAATGGTTCCACATTGGACCTTGGCTAGTTCCTGACCATGGCTCGTCTCTGATGGTTCCCAGTTAGACCTTGGCTAGTTCCTGACCATGGCTCGTCTCTGATGGTTCCCAGTAGGACCTTGGCTAGTTCCTGACCATGGCTTTCCTCTACTGATTCCTGGTTTGACCTTAGCACATCTCTGATGGTTCCCTATTAGACCTTGGCTTGTTCCTGACCACAGCTTTCCTCTACCAAGGTCTAATTGGGAACCATCAGAGATGTGCTGAGGTCAAACCAGGAATCAGTAGAGGAAAGCCAGGGTCAGGAACTAGCCAAGGTCTAATTGGGAACCATCAGAGATGAGCCATGGTCAGGGACTAGTCAAGGTCTAACTGGGAACCATCAGAGACGAGCTATGGTCAGGGACTAGTCAAGGTCTAACTGGGAACCATCAGAGACGAGCCATGGTCAGGGACTAGTCAAGGTCTAACTGGGAGCCATCAGAGACGAGCCATGGTCAGGAACTAGCCAGGTCTAACTGGGAACCATCAGAGACGAGCCATGGTCAGGAACTAGCCAAGATCTAACTGGGAACCATCAGAGGCAAGCTGTGGTCAGAAACTATCTGTGGTTAAACCGAGAATTAGAGAAAATCTTGTAGTCACAAACTAGTAAAGGTCAATCCGTGAACCATCAGAGACAAGCCAAGGTCAGACTGGTAATCCATGGAGACAAGCTGTGGTGAGGAACTATCGGAGGTCAAACCAGGAATCATAAGACAGATGCCGTGGTCACTAGTCAAGATCAAACCAAACATCAGTAGAGGAAAGCCATGGTCAGCAACTAGCCAAAGTCAAACCAGGAACCATCGGATGCGGTGGTCAGGAACTAACTCAGGTCAAACTGGGAATCTCCAGAGACCAGCAGTGGTCATGCACTAGTGGAGATCATTATTAGATAGGCAGAGCAGAGACAAGTCCAGGTCAGCTGCAGGACAGTAGATCTGAGGAACAGATTCATGGTTTCCGTTGAAGACCATCTGGCAACTATTCTAGTTCAGCTCTGTTCTGTAAATAGGCCATCTAATGCCAAGATTTGGATTGAGCATACGTGTCCATGTCCTTGTAGGCCCATACGTGTCCATGTCCTTGTAGGCCCATAAGTGTCCATGTCCTTGTAGGCCCATACGTGTCCATGTCCTTGTAGGCCCATACGTGTCCATGTCCTTGTAGGCCCATACGTGTCCATGTCCTTGTAGGCCCATACGTGTCCATGTCTTTGTAGGCCCATACGTGTCCATGTCCTTGTAGGCCCATACGTGTCCATGTCCTTGTAGGCCCATAAGTGTCCATGTCCTTGTAGGCCCATAAGTGTCCATGTCCTTGTAGGCCCATACGTGTCCATGTCCTTGTAGGCCCATACGTGTCCATGTCCTTGTAGGCCCATACATGTCCATGTCCTTGTAGGCCCATACGTGTCCATGTCCCCATACGCCCAGCGTTCCTGTGTATATATCCCGCACTGGGGGGCAGGAGCTCTTTGTATGGCCTTATGCAGGGGTCCCACCACCACTCCACTTTGTATGCGCATTTCTTTCTTTATGGGTGGATAACCGTTTTTTTTGTCTCCTCCTCAGGGTGCAGCGTCTGTAAGAGGATGATGCCGGCATACCAGCAGGCCGCCACCGAACTGAAGGGCCCCTATGTGAGTAACGTATGGCTGTCTCTTCACCGCTTACCTTTGGCCTCCACAGTGCGGGTCAGACCATTGCAGGCGAATTTCCGTGTGAGGGAGACTCCGCGACAGCGTACAGCCGCCATTGCATCGAATTCCTGTCCACACTGTATATACAGCTTCAAGGGTGCAATTGGTTTGAATCCTTCACTGTCAGCCATTTTTTGGGGGGCGTGGTTTTTTTTTTTTTGGTTTTTTTTTTGCACACCTTTAAAAAATAATTTGCATAAACACAGAACTAGAACACAGGTGTCAAACACAAGGCCCGCGGGCCGAATCCGGCCCTCCAGGTCATTTCATGTGGCCCTTGCACCTCTCCTGCAGGTACCCCCCTTGTCTCCGCCCCCCACCTTGTCTCAGCAGAGAGGAGAATAAAACTCCTCTGCCAAATCCTGCACCTCAGTGCAGCTGCAGCACCCCCTCATCTCTGCCCCCCCTGGTCTCAGCATTCAGCAGACTCTGGTAACTGACTCCACTCCTCCTCTGGTCCTCCTCCAGACTCTGCACTTTCCGTTTCCCAGCTCTGTCCCCAAAGGAGGTGCACGGTGATGTTAGGGACGGTGTGGGATTCTTGACATCTTATGTAATGGGGGGGGGGGGGGCTGCTCTGGACGTCTAGTCTTACAGATACAACCGGCCCTTGAGGGCAACCATAATGCTGATAGGGCCCGCTATGAAATGGAGTTTGACACCCCTGGCCTAGAAAACTATCGTTGGTGTGTCAGTGAGAGGAATAGTGCCCCATCATTGGTGTCAGTGGGAGGAATAGTGCCCCATCATTGGTGTCAGTGGGAGGAATAGTGTCCCCATCATTGGTATCAGTGGGAGGAATAGTGCCCCATCATTGGTGTCAGTGGGAGGAATAGTGCCCCATCATTGGTGTCAGTGGGAGGAATAGCGCCCATTGGTGTCATCATTAGTGACAGTGGGAGGAATAGTGCCCCATCATTGGTGGTAGTGTCAGTGGGAGGAATAGTGCCCCATCATTGGTGTCAGTGGGAGGAATAGTGCCCCATCATTGGTGTCAGTGGGAGGAATATTGCTCCCATCATTGGTTGTCAGTGGGAGGAATAGTGCCCCATCATTGGTGGGATGTCAGTGGTGAGGAATAGTGCCCCATCATTGGTGTCAGTGGGAGGAATAGTGCCCCATCATTGGTATCAGTGGGAGGAATAGTGCCCCATCATTGGTGTCAGTGGGAGGAATAGTGCCCCATCATTGGTCATTGGTCAGTGGGAGGAATAGTGCCCCATCATTGGTGTCAGTGGAGGAATAGTGCCCCATCATTATGGTATCAGTGGGAGGAATAGTGCCCCATCATTGGTGTCAGTGGGAGGAATATTGGTGTCAGTGGGAGAATATTGCATTGGTGTCAGTGGGAGGAATAGTGTCCCATCATTGGTGTCAGTGGGAGGAATAGTGTCCCATCATTGTTCAGTGGTCCCCATCAGTGGGAGGAATAGTGTCCAGTGGGAGGAATAGTGCATCATTGGTGTCAGTGGGAGGAATAGTGCCCCCATCATTGGTGTCAGTGGGAGGAAATAGTGCAGTGGGAGGAATAGTGCCCCATCATTGGTCAGTGGGAGAGGAATAGTGTACCCCATCATTGGTGTCAGTGGGAGGAATAGTGCCCCATCATTGGTGTCAGTGGGAGGATAGTGCCCCATCATTGGTATCAGGAATAGTGCCCCATCATTGGTGTCAGGAGGAATAGTGCCCCCATGGGGAGGAATAGTGCCCCATCGTTGGTGTCAGTGGGAGGAATAGTGCCCCATCATTGGTGTCAGTGGGAGGAATAGTGCCCCATCATTGGTGTCAGTGGGAGGAATAGTGGGAGGAATAGTGCCCCATCATTGGTGTCAGTGGGAGGAATAGTGCTCCATCATTGGTGTCAGTGGGAGGTGCCCCAGGAATATTGGTGTCAGTGGGAGGAATAGTGCCCCATCATTGTGTCAGTGGGAGGAATAGTGCCCCATCGTTGGTGTCAGTGGGAGGAATAGTGCCCCATCATTGGTGTCAGTGGGAGGAATAGTGCCCCATCATTGGTGTCAGTGGGAGGAATAGTGCCCCATCATTGGTGTCAGTGGGAGGAATAGTGCCCCATCATTGGTGTCAGTGGGAGGAATAGTGCCCCATCATTGGTGTCAGTGGGAGGAATAGTGCCCCATCGTTGGTGTCATCCCCATTGTGTGGTGTCAGTGGGAGGAATAGTGCCCCATCATTGGTGTCAGTGGGAGGAATAGTGCCCCATCATTGGTGTCAGTGGGAGGAATAGTGCCCCATCATTGGTGTCAGTGGGAGGAATAGTGCCCCATCATTGGTATCAGTGGGAGGAATAGTGCCCCATCATTGGTGTCAGTGGGAGGAATAGTGCCCCATCATTGGTGTCAGTGGGAGGAATAGTGCCCCATCATTGGTGTCAGTGGGTCAGGGGAGGAATAGTGCCCCATCATTGGTATCCGTGGGAGGAATAGTGCCCCATCATTGGTGTCAGTGGGAGGAATAGTGCCCCATCGTTGGTGTGGGAGGAGTGGTGCCCCATATTGGTTAGTGGGAGAATGTGAACCCACATCAGTGGGAGGAATAGTGCCCCATCATGGTGTCAGTGGGAGGAGGATATAGTGCCCCATCGTTGGTGTCAGTGGTGGGTGGAATAGTGCCCCATCGTGGTGTCAGTGGTGTCAGTGGAGAAAAAAAAAATAGTGCCCCATAACTGGTGTCCCCATCATTGGTGTCAGTGGGAGGAATAGTGCCCCATCATTGGTGTCAGTGGGAGGAATAGTGCCCATCATTGGTGTCAGTGGGAGGAATAGTGACCCAGGATCATTGGTGTCAGTGGCCCCATCAATTGGTGTCAGTGAGGAATAGTGACCCATGGTTTCAGTGGGAGGAATAGTGCATTGTGTCAGTGGGAGTGGGAGGAATAGTGACCCATCATTGGTGTCAGTGGGGGGAATAGTGCCCCATCATTGGTGTCAGTGGGAGGAATAGTGCCCCATCATTGGTGTCAGTGGGAGGAATAGTGCCCCATCATTGGTGTCAGTGGGAGGAATAGTGTCCCATCATTGGTGTCAGTGGGAGGAATAGTGCCCCATTGTTGGGGTCAGTTTTCCTGCGTTTGTGGTTTTTCGCATTATTTTATTTTTTTTTTTACCAAGAAAACAAATTTGGGGGGGGGGGGTTCAAAAAAAATTTCCAAAAAACGTGGGTTTGCGGCAGTTTTTAGCATTAGAGAATTTTTACAGCTAAAAAACTCCTCTAGAAGCCCACTAGTTCTGGGGTTTTTTTTCCATCCAAAAAAAACGTTGATTCCAGTCTGTGTGTGTATGGACACCGAGGATAACATGCTGGGGGGGTTTAGTGGCTGTAAAAAAAAAAATGTAAAAAGCCAAAAAACAGCCGCTGTAAAAACGCCTCGTGTGCATGACGACAAAAAAAAAAATACAATATGGATGAATTCCGCGCAACACGACTTCCCCCTCCAGCTGATAGTGCAACTTTTTTTTCTTTTTCTTTTTTTTTTTTTTTTTTACTGAGATAAAATGTAGCCCACTATTTACAATGTGCCTTTACACACAGGCGTGTAAAGAAGCGCCGCGCATTCTTCAGTTAAAAAAAAAAAAAGGGGAAAAAAAAAAAAATCTGCATTTTTGGTCAGTAATTTACTCTGCTTTTGCGAAATTGCGTGCAAATACACACAAATATGTGATTACGAGCGGAAAAAATGAATGATTTTTCCCTAAGAATAATAATAATACGAACATAAATACGCGCAAAACATGCGTGAAATTTACGCCCAAAAAAGCAGACGCTCAGACATCCGTACCGTGCACAGGAGGCCTGCATTTTTGGTCAGTAATTTACGCGGCATTCGCGAAATTGCGTGCAGAAATATGAATGAATTTTCCCTAAGAATAATAATAATACGAACATAAATACGTAGAAAACATGCGTGAAATTTACGCCCAAAAAAAGCAAACGCTCAAACATCCGTACCGTGCGCACGAGGCCTTAGATGAGCTAGAAAAAGCTCAGTACAACTTTTTTTTTTTTTTTTTTTTTTCTGCGGTAAAATGTAGCCCATTATTTGGGCATTTTGGGCGGTAATTTACTCTGCTTTTGTGAAATTGTGTGCAAATACACACAAATATGTGCATACGAGCGGAAACATGAATTACCGTATTTGCCGGCGTATAAGACGACCCCCCTACTTTTCCTGCTAAAATGTAGTGTTTGGGCTATACTCGCCGTATAAGACTACCCCTCTTCCAATGCACACCAGTGGGAGGAATAATGCCCCATCATTGGTGTCAGTGGGAGGAATAATGCCCCATCATTGGTGTCAGTGGGAGGAATAGTGCCCCATCATTGGTGTCAGTGGGAGGAATAGTGCCCCATCATTGGTGTCAGTGGGAGGAATAATGCCCCATCATTGGTGTCAGTGGGAGGAATAATGCCCCATCATTGGTGTCAGTGGGAGGAATAGTGCCCCATCATTGGTGTCAGTGGGAGGAATAGTGCCCCATCATTGGTGTCAGTGGGAGGAATAGTGCCCCATCATTGGTGTCAGTGGGAGGAATAGTGCCCCATCATTGATGTCAGTGGGAGGAATAATGCCCCATCATTGGTGTCAGTGGGAGGAATAGTGCCCCATCATTGGTGTCAGTGGGAGGAATAGTGCCCCATCATTGGTATCAGTGGGGGGAATAGGTGCCCCATCATTGGTATCAGTGGGAGGAATAGTGCCCCATCATTGGTATCAGTGGGGGGTGGAATAGTGCCCCATCATTGGTATTAGTGGGGGGTGGAATAGTGCCCCATCGTTGGTGTCAGTGGGGGGGGGGAATAGTGCCCCATCATTGGTGTCAGTGGGGGGAGGAATAGTGCCCCATCGTTGGTGTCAGTGGGGGGTGGAATAGTGCCCCATCATTGGTATCAGTGGGGGGTGGAATAGTGCCCCATCATTGGTATCAGTGGGGGGTGGAATAGTGCCCCATCATTGGTATCAGTGGGGGGTGGAATAGTGCCCCATCGTTGGTGTCAGTGGGAGGAATAGTGCCCCATCATTGGTATCAGTGGGGGGTGGAATAGTGCCCCATCGTTGGTGTCAGTGGGAGGAATAGTGCCCCATCGTTGGTATCAGTGGTGCCCCATCATTGGTATCAGTGACACCAATGATGGGGCACTATTCCTCCCACTGACACTTGCTGACCCTGTTCTCGTATGGTGCTGCTGCAGCCAGCATATGTGGTTGCAGCAGCACCTCTACACAGAACACTTACCTGCTGCTCCAGCACTCAATTTTCGCGGGGCCGCTCGGCTCCGCCCCCTCGCCGGTGATTGGCCGCCTGTGTGCCTTTCCTGAGCTACAGTTCTGGCGGCCAATCACCGGTGAGGAGGCGGAGCCGAGCAGCCGCACGAACATCCAGTGGCCGAACTGAAGGAGACGCCGCGCTTCCTGGACCGGATCGTCGTGGGACTGGATCCAGGTAAGAGACATCAGCCCCTGCAAACCCCTGTACTTAATGCCGCAGCCCCCCAAACATGTGTACCGGCGTATAAGACGACCCCCGACTTTTGAGAAGATTTTCAAGGGTCAAAAAGTCGTCTTATACGCCGGCAAATACGGTAATTTTTCCCTAAGAATATAATGTGCGCGCAAGACATGCGTGAAATTTACGCCCAAAAAAGCAGACGCTCGAACATCCGTACCGTGCGCAGGAGGCCTTAGATACATAAATGTTGGATGAATTCCTCGCGACGCGACTTCCTCCTCCAGCCGACGTTCTCATTTATATTGTAGGAAGATCTGTCACCTGATTGGTTGGGGTTGTATCATTTTGTATCGTTTTTTTTAATCTTTTATCATTTTGTTCTTTTTATCTCAACACAAACGTTTGCAGCCGTTTTGTCTTCGCATCTTTTATTTTTTTTTTCTGGGTAATAAATTTCCGCAGCAGAAAACGCGATTGGATCTGACGTGAGCGATCCGTATTCCTGCAGACAGGGGAGGGAATTCGGGGGGCTCCATGGGGCTTCACGGGGCCCCTCGCTCTCGCAGTATTAGAAAAGTAACCCGATTATCTGGCGGGGTTGACGGACGCGTCAGTCTTGGAGACGTCTTTATACATCAAAGTCGCTCGCCGGATCGCGATAAGCCGTATCGTCGCGGCGCGGATTCCCGTTCTGCCGCCTCCGCGCATAAATTATAATATATTGAGGCAGAAAACGGCTGAAGATAAATGATTCACCTGAGACGATCGTAGGAAGGGAAACGACTTAAACCATCAAACATCATCTGTGACAATCGGTCTGGACAGGACAGGAAGCCTGGTGTGCGCTGGAGAATCTCTTCCCCTCGGGGGCCACAATTTCATCTCCAGCGCCGTTCGCGCGGATCACCTGCTGATCGACGTAGAGCCGCGGTGGTCGGCGGTGTCTGTAGACCAGCCTTGTGACGGCCCCGGGGCCCCTCCGCAGATCCTGATTCTGTGTGATGGGGCGGAGCGGGGAGTGTGAACCGTCCCTTTCGGCAAATCAACGGGGAACAAATTGTGGGATGATGTGACGGGTCACCGGCTGCATGGAGGCAGCAGATTCGGAGGTTTCACCACAACTTTCCACTTTTGACATTTTATTTGTTCTCCTCCTTGCAGAAGTTTAATCTGCTTATATTTCCCCTTCCATGCCCCGCCCTGCCCCGCCCCGCCTCCCATCCCCATCCCACCTTGCCTTGCCCACCTGCCCCGCTCCGCCTCGCCCCACCTCCCACCTCGCCTTGCCCCTGCCCCGCCCTGTCCCACCTTGCCTTACCCTGCCCCGTGCCTTGCCTTGCCCATCCCACGCCTCGCCTTGCCCTGCCCCCACCTCTCCCTGCCCCGCCTCTCCCTGCCCCGTCCCACCTCGCCTTGCCCTGCCCCACTCCACCTCGCCCCGCCCCACTTTTGCCCTGCCGCCTCCCCCTGCCCTGCCTCGCCTCACCCCACCCTGCCCCACCTTTCCAATTTCATGCCATACCTTATTTTAAACCTAGTAACCTCACAACTGGGTTTCTGTGCTTCTCTATTCAATGCAGGCAGATCATGGCTGGGAGGGTTCGGCTATGTGCTTGCCCATAGCTTCCTAAAAACCCGTCAGTCCTGTTGCAAGCAGTGGGAGGAGTCCTGCAAATATTAGAATGCCTTGATGGGTGGGTGTCAGGAGGAGTTGGGCGTTCCTAGGTAGGGTCTATTTGCATGCAGCCCACCCACATGTGATGCTGAGCCTCCATGATTGCAAGAACTGAAGTCCACTGAAAGGGGCGGGGCCAGGGACAGAGGCTGGGGAAGAAAGCACTAGATGATGCTGGGCGTCCTCCAGCCAGGAAATGAGGCGGAGCTCTATGTGACTTGCTGTAGCTTCTAATGCACATTGTGAGAAGCATCAGATATATGCTGCTAAATGAGTGTTATAGAGGAAGAAGAAAAATGTGTAAGATGGTTTATTACTAAAGGATTGCGTAGCTTAAATATTACGTATTTTTGATGCTGATACTTAATAATAATAATAATAATAATAATATTTATATAATAATATATTATTACATTTGGTGTTGTTATGGTTAATATTATTACTATGTATTATTATTAATAATAATTAAAATAATAAATATTAATAATAAAAATAGAGCTAATATTATAGTAGCAGTAATACTATTAACAATATTGTGTAGCTTAAATATGTATTTTTGATGCTGATAATAATAATACAAAAATTTTATATACTGTTATTACATTTGGTGTTATGGTTAATATTATTACTATGTATTATTAATAATAAAAAAAAATATTATTAATAATAATAAAAATAGCAGTCATATTTATAATTATAGTAGCAGTAATACTATTCACAATATTGTGTAGCTTAAATATGTATTTTTGATGCTGATACTTAATAATAATATTTATAATAATAATAATAAAAACATGTATATATACTGTATTAATTACATTTGGTGTTCTGGTTAATATTATTACTATGTATTAGGCTACGTTCACACTAGCCTTGTGTGCAGTGCATGGCGGCAGAGAGGCGTTTGGGAAGCGTTTTTAACCGCTTCCCAAACGCCTCTGCCAATTCTGCACATTACAGCACATGGTTATATTTCTAACGGGAGCGTTTGCGTCGCGGCAAAACGGACGCCTCTGGACGAGTCAGGAGGCTTTGAAGCCTCCTATTCTCGTCTATGGTGCCGCTCCGCAAACGCCCGGCCGGCGTTTGCGGTGCGGTTGCGACGCGGTTTTGCGGGGCGTTTGCGGAGCGGTAACACCACTCAAACTGCATTATAGGCGTTTGTGGGGCGTTATTAACGCTCGGCAAACGCCTAGCAACCGCCGCTAAACCGCGCATGCAGCGTTTGCGGAGCGTTTGCCGAGCGTTAAAAAACGCTCTGCAAACGCCGGACCAACGCTTGCCAAACGCTATAGGGGCGTTTGGCAAGCGTTGGCAAAACAGCCTAGTGTGAACGAGCCCTTAATAATAATAAAAATAAATTAATAATAATAATAAAAATAGTAGTAATATAATTATAGCAGCAATAATACTATTAACAATATTGTGTAGCTTAAATAATATGTATTTTTTTTTGCTGATACTTAATAATAATAAAATATTTATATACTGTATTATTACATTTGGTGTTATGGTTATTTATTATTAATTATATTATAAATTAAAATAGTAATATAATTATAGTAGCAGTAATACTATTAACAATACCAAATATAATATAATAATTATAACAACAGTAATAATAATATATTTGGTACTGCGAATAGTATTACTGCTACTATAATTATAATATTACTACTATCTTTATTAATAAAATTAATAATAATAATAATTTTTGATTACGGTAGCAGTAATACTATTAACAATAAGAAGATTATATTTAGCATTGCTATTTATTGATGACAATAAAATATAAAAATTTTTTATTATTATTATTATTATTAATAATAATAATAATAATAATAATAATAATATAAAAAGTTTTACTATATAAATATTAGTAATAATAATAATCTATAAGTAGTAATATTTCATAATATTAATATTTCACAACAACAATACCAATTATTATTATTATTATATATTTATATAGTAATACTTTTTATTTATTATTATATTTATATAGTAATACTTTTTTTATTTTATTATCATTATTATTATTTATGTAGTAGTAATAAAAACACGAATAATTAAAATACCGAATATAATGTTGTTTGTTACTATATTAAACGTATCACATTTTTGGGATTGACATTTAGGGGGCCAGTCCATTCCCACCTCTTTCCTTTGTGTTGAGTCTCTTTGTTCTTCTCCTGCAGGTCCTGGCGGGGATGAACGTTCACCCTCCAGAGTTTGAGCGACTGATGTTCCCGCTTCTGCTCCTCATTGTCTCGGCTGCACTTGTCACTCCTCGTTCAGCTTCCCATTTAAAACTGAAATCCACCCAAAAATGATTTTTTAAAAAAAAAAAACCTCACCCCCATAGCAGATGGTGACATATTATCTATAATTCAGTTTTGGGGTGAGTTAGAGTCAAATAAAATTGCCCGTTAATAGAAAAGAATAAAAAAATCCTTTTTAATTTTTTTTTTTTTACAACATTCACTTCCAATCTGGAACTGTCCCCTGGAGTACTTATCTTCTACCACTAGATGTCCCCAGTCTGAAGGCTAGCATCAATCAAGGCGGCTTCCTCTGAGCCAAGGCTTGTGATTGGACAGTGAAAAGAAAAGCACGGGCACCTCCTTTAGTTTATTTCTTTGCTGTCCAATGGGTCACCGGCAGCAAAAAAATAAGCAGAAGAGGGTTTTAAAGCAGAAAAAAAAAAAAGAGAAGAAAATGAATAGCCCATTAAAAGATAAAATCAAACCAGCAGCAGTAGTCGCCTTCAACTGAGTTTTTCCCTCACAGTACTTTTTTCTGTCACTAGATGTCCTCAGTCTAATGGCCAATCATCCCGGACGAGCCCCCAGTTTTGACTGGACAGTGAAAGGAGAAGCAGCAAAATGATAATGAGCTCAACTTTGTCTCACTCTGTTGCTTCTTGTCAGCACATGAACTGATTGGCTCCTTTTTGCTGCTTTTTCCTTCCACACCCCCGCCCCACTGTACAGAGATCGCAACAAGCAATATTCACCTGCGGTCTTGAGATTTCCCCCGCAGTGCTTTTCTCTGCCACTAGATGTCCTCTTTCTGATGGCCAGCATCATTTACCCCACTTCCTCTGAGCCCAGCTCATCCCGGACGAGCCCCCAATCTTTGACTGGATAGCAAAAGGAGAAGCGGCAGACTGAGGAAACTCATCTCTCTATCGTTCTGCTTTCTCCTCCATGGCCAGCATCATTTACCCCACTTCCTCTGAGCCCAGCTCATCCCGGACGAGCACCCAATCTTTGACTGGATAGCAAAAGGAGAAGCGGCAGACTGAGGAAACTCATCTCTCTATCGTTCTGCTTTCTCCTCCATGGCCAGCATCATTTACCCCACTTCCTCTGATCCCAGCTCATCCCGGACGAGCCCCCAATCTTTGACTGGATAGCGAAAGGAGAAGCGGCAGACTGAGGAACTCATCTCTCTATCGTTCTGCTCTCTCCTCCATGGCCAGCATCATTTACCCCACTTCCTCTGATCCCAGCTCATCCCGGACGAGCCCCCAATCTTTGACTGGATAGCGAAAGGAGAAGCGGCAGACTGAGGAACTCCTCTCTCTATCGTTCTGCTTTCTCCTCCATGGCCAGCATCATTTACCCCACTTCCTCTGATCCCAGCTCATCCCGGACGAGCCCCCAATCTTTGACTGGATAGCGAAAGGAGAAGCGGCAGACTGAGGAACTCCTCTCTCTATCGTTTTGCTTTCTCCTCCTATCCGCGTGCTTCTTGTCAGCCCATGGGCACTGTATCCCCTCCGTTTAGCTCTTTGTGCTGCTTCTCCCTCCCCCGGTCTGAGCTCTGCTGTACAGGGACCACATTCAAGTACTTTTACCTGCCTGTAGCTCAGCTTTAGAATCGGACTGAAAATATATATATTTTTTTTTTGACTAATCGTCTGTCTCTCTCTCTAGGAAAGGGAAATATATGTTCAACTTTGAGAAGTACGGAGCCACCGCCAAGGACATCGCCGACTGGTTGAAAAAGTGAGTTCTTTATCGCCGCTCCCGAGCGCTGAGACATACAGAGGGTATTGATTGATCGGCCGCCGCCGTTCATTGCGTCCTGCCCGGCAGGAAGGTTAGCGGGGTGTAAAAACGAAGAACCGTCTGTAGCTTCATCTGCCGCGTCCAAAACGTGTCACAGAGAGGAGCGCCGCGAATATATGGGAAATGCGTATTCTGTCACTACGTTTGTAAATGTTGCGGTTTCAATTGGTTTATTGGGGTTATGGCTGAAGACATCCGCAGTAACCATAGTATCTTTTTTTTTTTTTTTTTCTCCTGCCGGCGGCCGGCTTTCGCTTAAAAGAAGTCCGAGCGACCCACCACCCCCTCCCCAAACCCCCCACCCCCGCTGCTCACCGGCGTTTCTCGCGTTCTCGATAAACGATCTGATGGTGTGGCCGGCTGGCCGGATGGGAGACACTATGGTCTCTGATCGCCTCTATGACGTTGGTGGACTGGAGCGACGTCATAACGTCACATCTGGTTCGGGGGCAGATGTAAACAATTCTTTGTCTTTTTTTTAAAGCAAAAGATCACATTTTTTTTTTTTCTTCTGCCGGCTTTCGATTAAAAGTGGTCCGAGCGGCTCATTAGCCACCGGATCGCCCAATAACCCACCACCCCCTGACCCCCAACCCCCTCACCAAACCACCCCCCCGCTGCTCACCGACATTTCTCAGGCATGCTCGATAAACGATCCGATGGTGCGGCCAGATGGGAGACTCTATGGTCTCTGATCGCTTCTATGGCGTTGGTGGACTGGAGCGACGTCATGACGTCACATCTGGTTCTGGGGCGGATGTAAGCAATTATTTTTCTTTTCTTTTAAAACAAAAGATCACTTTTTTTTCTGTTGGCGGCCGGCTTTCGCTTAAAAGTGGTCAGAGCGGCTCCTTAGCCACTGGATCACCCGATAACCCACCACCCCCTGACCTTCAACCCCCTCCCCAAACCACCCGCCCCCGCTGCTCACCGACATTTCTCGGCATGCTCGAGAAACGATCTGATGGTGTGGCCAGATGGGAGACTCTACGGTCTCTGATGGCCTCTACGGTGTTGGTGGACTGAAGCAACGTCATGACGTCACATCTGGTTCGGGGGCGGATGTAAATAATTTTTTTTTTTTTTTTAAAACAAAAGATCACTTTTTTTTTTCTGTTGGTGGCCGGCTTTCGCTTAAAAGTGGTTCGAGTGGCTCGTTAGCCACTGGATCGCCTGATAACCCACCACCCCCTGACCCCCTCCGCAAACCCCCCACCCCTGCTGCTCGGCAGCAAAAGATCACTTTTTTTTTCAATTACTTTTTTTTAACTTTTTTTTTTTTTTCTGCCGGCGGCCAGCTTTCGCTTGAAAGTGGTCCAAGCGGCTCATTAGCCACTGCATCACCTGATAACCCCCCCCACCCCCACTGTTCGCCGGTGTTTTTTTTCGGGTGCGGCTGGCTGGCCGGATGGGAGACTCTACGGTCTCTGATCCCCTCTGGTGTTGGTGGACTGGAGTGACGTCATGACGTCACATCTGGTTCGGGGGCAAATGTAAAAAATTTTTCTTTTTTTATTTAAAGCAAAAGATCACTTTTTTTTTTTTTTTTTTTTTCTGTCGACAGCCAGCTTTCGCTTGAAAGTGGTCCAAGTGGCTCATTAGCCACTGCATCGCCCGATAACCCACCACCCCTGACCCCCAACCCCCTCCCCAAACCCCCCACCCCTGCTGTTCGCCAGCGTTTTTCAGCGTGCTTGAGAAACGCTCGGACGGTGCGGCCGGCTGGTCACAGAGGCGAGGGGAGATTCTACAGCCTCTGATCGCCTCTATGGCGGTGCACTGGAGCGACGTCATGACGTCACATCCGGTTTGGGGGCTTATGTAAACATTTTTTTCTCTTTTTCTTTTTTTTTTTTAAAGCAAAAGATCTGTGCAGATCTAGTAAAGAATGCTTCCAGGTTCTTACTAGGTAGAGGAGATCAGCAAACAGTTGTTCGCTGGTCTCCCTCCCCTCTACCTGGTGACAGTCCCAGGTCCGCAGGTGGCCAGTAAACATGGCGGGGTTGGAGGACCTTGGATGTACCTGGGTTGGGTGAAAGCGATCGGGGGACTTCCATGTGGCATCCGTCAGGAGCTGTGTGCTAAACCACCCACTGCTGCCAAGGTATGTCATCCGTCAGTGGCAGCAAAAGGGTTAAACCCTCACAACCAACCTCCCCTTACACCCCTTGGAAACCGTTGACTTTGATTTAAGGCATCTGTCCAAGGTGAAGGAAATCCCCTGAAAACATGACCTTTTGGGGCACTTGAGGACTGAGGTTGGGAATCGGTGCTGTAGAGGGTATGGTGCCATCTTAGAAGAGCCGTCAAGACCCTTGGAGGTGGCCCCTTGGAGGTGGCCCCTTGGAGGTGGACCATGGGAGTGGCCCAGTTGCTTGGCCTGTGGAGCGTGTGAGGTGTAGTCACAGCCAGGTGATGCTCATAGAAGTGGCAACAATGGGGCTCCAGAGGGTCCCTGCGAGTCAGCGTAGCCACCCCAGAGGAGGAAATACCAGGAAAAAAAAAAATGGTCCAGTTTGCAGAGAGGACAACCGCCTGGACAGAGGACGGCGAGGGACGGGAGACGAGGTGCCGCTGGAATTATTTTCTCACAGCGAAGGATTAATAACACCTGAAGCCGCGGCGAGCGGCGATCTGTGAGGATGTGGTTTGTGGTATCCTGCTAGAGAGGATGTTATATAAGACGATCCTCCGCCTGTAACCACACGCTCAGCCCCATCCCCGGCGTGGTCAGTCAGGGGTGGCTTCCCCCTTGGTTATCCTCCGATCGTGCCAAAACCACCAACTAGTGATTTATGTAGAATGCGCCTCCTGGCATGCGAGCGAATCAGCGGACGCACTCGGAGATCACACGGAGAAAGCTACTCCAAGTCCCTCTCTGGCCAAAGTTTTTTCTTTTTTCTTTTTTCGGAAATAAATCCTTCTCTTTGCCTCCATGATGTCATCACAGGGGCCACGAGGAAGCATCCAAAAGTCCGGCGTAAGTGAAGCGGAACACCCTCTTAGATCGTTCCTCCCAGCCCTGATGGATACATGTCCTTTGCTGATTGGCTTTGGGGAGATATCGACAGTGACAACGTTGATCACCCTCCTCCTCACTGTACATCGTGATGATGGTGCACAGGGTGACAACGCTGCAGTGAATTCACTTCAGATGCAATTGTGTTGTCAACCCTGCAGGAGGAAGTACCGTGGACTGGCAGGATCACAAGCAATTCAGCCTTTTAAAGGAAAAGTAAAATGCTGAATGAAATGGCCTCCCCGACCCCTCTTCTGTTCCATCATTTTACAGAACTTGGGCATGTGCGCTGTCATTGTCCTTCAGCTATCTAAGACCAAACAGAGACCAGCACAGGGAGGGGAGGGGGCCTCCTCTAGCACGGGGAGGGGGCGGGGCCTCCTCTAGCATGGGGGGGCGACGGGGGCCTCCTCCAGCACGGGGAGGCGACGGGGGCCTCCTCCAGCACGGGGAGGCGACGGGGGCCTCCTCCAGCACGGGGAGGCGACGGGGGCCTCCTCCAGCACGGGGAGGCGACGGGGGCCTCCTCCAGCACGGGGAGGCGACGTGGGCCTCCTCCAGCACGGGGAGGCGACGTGGGCCTCCTCCAGCACGGGGAGGCGACGGGGGCCTCCTCCAGCACGGGGAGGCGACGTGGGCCTCCTCCAGCACGGGGAGGCGACGGGGGCCTCCTCCAGCACGGGGAGGCGACGGGGGCCTCCTCCAGCACGGGGAGGCGACGGGGGCCTCCTCCAGCACAAGGGAGGCGACGGGGGCCTCCTCCAGCACAAGGAAGGGACGGGGGCCTCCTCCAGCACAAGGAAGGGACTGGGGCCTCCTCCAGCACGGGGAGGCGACGGGGGCCTCCCCCAGCACAAGAAAGGGACGGGGGCCTCCTCCAGCACGGGGAGGCGACGGGGGCCTCCCCCAGCACGGGGAGGGGACGGGGGCCTCCCCCAGCACAAGGAAGCGACGGGGCCCTCCCCCAGCACGCCTTGTTCAGCCAATCACGGCATTAATCTCAGCATGCAGCTATCCTTGCAGATCCACTTTGGTTGGGCACTGTATGGCGTATTGCTCCACCCCTAATCACACACTATAGTGGGGCGACGCTTAGAATATTGATCCACCCAAAGTGGGTTTGCAAGGATAGCTCCCTGCTAAGAGTACTGCTGTGATTGGCTGAACATGGCGTGTGACACCATAGTTAAAATTCACTTTTTTCCCCGCCCACCATGGCTTAGTCTTAGTCTATGACTAAGCCTTGGTGGGTGGGACGAAACATGTTGGGGGGGGGGGATGGCGGGGTAGCGCATGCACTACTTCAGGTGCGATTTCCATAGACCTCTGTGTCAGATGTCTTGCAAGTCGCACCTCACATGGACATGTCATTTGACTTTGAAATCGTGCGACTTCACTGTAGGTCGGGATCGGTGTGACTGGGGGGGGGGGGGGGATTGGGGATAGCTCTACAGAGAAAAATGAATGTAGTGGATTACAAGATACAATGTATGTGTTATGTTACCCAAATAGTAAAGCGCAGTATTTGCCTGCAGCTGATTGGAGGGTTGCAGCTCCAATCAGCTGCTGGACTTGTTGCTGCCGAATCTGATTCTTCCTGTTGTAGTCTATTATGGGATGTTGACACAAAGGACTCTTTTAGCGGGTCCTGCGTGTGATTCATGAGAGCCCACGCTGCTCCCTGTCAGTATTTGTGTCTCTCCATAACTCTGTGCCTTCTCTCACCGCAGTCCGCAGCCGCCCGCCCCTGAAGCCCCGGAGGTGCCGTGGTCGGAAACGGAGAGCGCCGTCCATCACCTGACCGACGCAGACTTTGACGAGTTTGTCAAGGATCACCCGTCTGCCCTCGTCATGTTCTACGCCCCATGTGAGACTTTACTTTACTTTATTGCTCATCATTGTGTTTGCTTTGGTGAATGTTCTAAGCTCCACCCCTCTACAGTGTGTGATTAGGGGTGGAGCAATGCACTATACAGCATCCGCCCATTGTAGATCTGCAAAGACAGCTGAGAGTGCTGCTCTGATTGGCTGAGAGGAACAAGGCGTGTCATCCCACAGTTTACATTAACTATTTCTTTATTTTAAAATTGATGCAAGATAAAAATGTAACAAAGTATGTCAAGGTTTTATTTTTTAATCCTCCCTTCGGCTTCCCTTCCAGTCTTGCACAGGTTACCCCTTCTCAGTCTTGCACAGACTGAAGGGGAGGAGCCGGTTCACCTGTGCAAGACTGAAGGGGAGGAGCCGGTACACCTGTGCAAGACTGAAGGGGAGGAGCCGGTACACCTGTGCAAGACTGAAGGGGAGGAGCCGGTGCACCTGTGCAAGACTGAAGGGGAGGAGCTGGTACATCTGTGCAAGACTGAAGGGGAGGAGCTGTTACACCGACTGTACACCTGTGCATGACTGAAGGGGAGGAGCTGTTACACCTGGTGCAAGACCTGTTACACCTGTGCAAGACTGGGAAGCCGGTACACCTGGCAAGACTGAAGGGGAGGAGCTGTTACACCTGTGCAAGAGTGAAGGGGAGGAGGGAACCCCTGTGCAAGACTGTTAGGAGCCGGTACACCTGTGCAGGACTGGAGGGGAGGAGCCGGTACACCTGTGCAAGACTGAAGGGGAGGAGCCGGTACACCTGTGCAAGACTGAAGGGGAGGAGCCGGTGCACCTGTGCAAGACTGAAGGGGAGGAGCTGGTACATCTGTGCAAGACTGAAGGGGGAGGAGCTGTTACACCTGTGCAAGACTGAAGGGGAGGAGCCGGTACACCTGTGCAGACTGAAGGGGGAGGAGCTGTTACACCTGTGCAAGACTGAAGGGGAGGAGCTGTTACACCTGTGCAAGACTGAAGGGGAGGAGCTGTTACACCTGTGCAAGACTGAAGGGGAGGAGCCGGTACACCTGTGCAAGACTGAAGGGGAGGAGCTGGTTACACCTGTGCAAGAGTGGAGGGGAGGAGCCGGAACCCCTGTGCAAGACTGGAGGGGAGGAGCCGGTACACCTGTGCAAGACTGGAGGGGAGGAGCCGGTACACCTGTGCAAGACTGAAGGGGAGGAGCCGGTACACCTGTGCAAGACTGAAGGGGAGGAGCCGGTGTTCAGATTTAATACCTTTTTTTTTCCTTTAGTTGCTTTTATTTCAGGTTCACGTAGCAGATCCGTTAATAACATCCAGACAGCCTTGGGGGATGGGGGGGGACATTTAACGGAAGAACTATTGGCCCGCCGCTGTGATTTGCGTGTCCCCGGGCTGCAGACTGATAAGACCGCTGACAAATGTTGTCTCAGGCGGCGTCCGTCTCCCAGCGCAGCGCCCTAAAATGGACCTGTTGTTTGTTGCGCTGATTTAAAGCCTCGCTTTGTTCCGGAGAATTGGCACCTGGGAGTGAATTATCCCCGCGTGGGACCGCAGACGCCGGGCGCGCTCTCAGATCTCTTTCTGCGCGGAGAATAGATTGAAATGAAACGATGAAATCCATTCTGGTTCTTGTCGGGGGATTACGGCGGCGGCGCTCTGCCGGCGCTGCGCAGGAACAATGACTATGCTAATTCCGATCCTTGTTAAATGACGCATTCGCCGCTAATATCCCCCCCTGGAGGTGGCCACATGAAGTCACTAATTATGGTGAATTGTCGGTGAAAGAAGGAGGTCTGCGGCGCCGCCAGGTATCGCCACGCTGCTGTGACGAGGTGACGCCGTGGCGCTCCCAGGGACGCCTCTGTCTCCTGGCTCCCCATGGCCTTGCATGCTCCTGGCCAACGGAACGTTCGATGCAATGAGATGCGTTTCTCTAAGACAAAGTGGCAGATTCAGGTAACGGGCGCAGCTGGAATCTGGTGACCTACATGAGGCTGTCAGAAGAGCTCAGTCACCTCTGAAGTCGCTCCGTCGTCTCTGTCTGCGGCTCAGCGACCCCCCGCAGCTTCATTATTTCCCATGTAATACAAAACGTACCGCGGCTTCTTATGTTCATTGTATGTCGGTAATGAGATTTCACTTTACACGTTTAGGAGAGAAAAGTATTTCAGACAATAACACAGGAAATTTAAAATTAACCAGTTCAGCTCCGGACCCTCTATACACCCCCCTCCCCCCACCCACGGAGCACAGCAATTTTTACATTATTTAGTAATTACTTTGTTTATAAACATCGATCAGACGGGAGATAGAGAGATACAAAGGAACATTGTTTATAAACATCGATCAGACAGGAGATAGAGAGATACAAAGGAACATTGTTTATAAACATCGATCGGATGAGAGATGGAGAGATACAAAGTAACATTGTTTATAAACATCGATCAGACGGGAGGTGGAGAGATACAAAGTAACATTGTTTATAAACATCGATCAGACAGGAGATGGAGAGATACAAAGTAACATTGTTTATAAACATCGATCAGACGAGAGATACAAAGTAACATTGTTTATAAACATCGATCAGACGGGAGATACAAAGTAACATTGTTTATAAACATCGATCAGACGGGAGATACAAAGTAACATTGTTTATAAACATCGATCAGACGGGAGGTGGAGAGATACAAAGTAACATTGTTTATAAACATCGATCAGACGGGAGGTGGAGAGATACAAAGTAACATTGTTTATAAACATCGATCAGACGGGAGGTGGAGAGATACAAGGTAACATTGTTTATAAACATCGATCAGACGGGAGGTGGAGAGATACAAAGTAACATTGTTTATAAACATCGATCAGACGGGAGGTGGAGAGATACAAAGTAACATTGTTTATAAACATCGATCAGACGGGAGATGGAGAGAAACAAAGTAACTTTGTATCTCTCTATCTCCCGCCTAATCGATGATTATAAACAAAGTAACATTGTTTATACAGTGCCTTGAAAAAGTCTTCCTCCCCCCTTGAAATTTTCCACATTTTGTCATGTTACAATGTATTTTATCGGGATTGGATGTGATGGACCGACACAAAGTGGCACATAATTGTGAAGTGGAAGGAAAATGAGAAATGGTTTTCAGCATTTGTGACAAATCTGTGAAAAGTGTGGCGGCATTTGTATTCGGCCCCCTTTACTCTGATCCCCCTAACTACAATCTAGTGGAACCAATTGCCTTCAGAAGTCACCTGATTAGTACATAGAGTCCCCCTGTGTGTCATGTGATCTCAGGATAAATCCACATGTTCTGTGAAGCCCTCAGAGGTTTGTTAGAGAACATTAGTGAACAAACAGCATCATGAAGGTCAAGGAACACACCAGACAGGTCAGGGATAAAGTTGTGGAAAAGTGTAAAGCAGGGTTAGGTTATAATAACAATCTCCCAAGCTGTGACCATCTCACAGAGCACTGTGTTCAATCCATCATCTGACAATGGGAGGAGTACGGCAAAACTGCCAACCTACCAAGACATGGCTGTCCACCTAAACTGACAGGCCGGGCAAGGAGACCATTCATCAGAGAAGCAGCCAAGAGGCTCATGGGAACTCTGGAGGAGCTGCAGAGATCCACAGCTTAGGTGGGAGAATCTGTCCTCAGGACTACTATTAGTCGTCACTCCACAAATCTGGCCTTTATGGAAGAGTGACAAGAAGGAAGCCATTGTTGGAGGAAAGCCATAAAAAGTCCAGTTTGCAGTTTGTGAGAAGCCATGTGGGGGGACACAGCAAACATGTGGAAGAAGGGGCTCTGGTCAGAGGAGACCAAAATGGGACTATACGGCCTAAAAGCAAAACGCTATATGTGGGGAAAACTAACACTGCCCATCCCCCTGAACACACCCAGACCCACCGTGAAACATGGTGGTGGTGGCAGCATCATGTGGTGGGGATGCTTTTCTTTAGCAGGGACAGGGAAGCTGGTCAGAGTTGATGGGAAGATGGATGGAACCAAATACAGGGCAATCTTAGAAGAAAACCTGTTAGATTCTGCAAAAGACTTGAGACCGGGGCGGAGGTTCCCCTTCCAGCAGGACAACAACCCAAAACATCCAGCCAGAGCTACAATGGAATGGTTCCCATCAAAGCATCTTCATGTGTTAGAATGGCCCAGTCACAGTCCAGACCCAAATCCAATGGAGGATCTGTGGCCAGACCTGAAAATTGCTGTTCCCAGACGCTCTCCATCCAATCTGACAGCTTGAGGGATTCTGCAAAGAAGAATGAGCAGAAATGTCCCTCTCTAGATGTGCAAAGAGACATCCCCAAAAAGACTTTCAGCTGGAATGGCAGCCAAAGGGGGTCCTACAAAGTATTTATACTGCTTTTTTTTTTTTTTTTTTTTTTTTTTTTTTTTTGAACTATAAATGAATAAAGCCTTCAAATTTTTTTGAGAAAATTTTTTTTTTTTACGTTTTGCTATAAAACATATCAAATAAAAAAAAATGTATTCAAAAATTTAGGCCAAATCTTTTTGTGTCTCTATGCTATCACATGGGTGGGGCGGGGCGGGGTGGGGCGTATGCCTTCATGTATTTATACTGCACCATGAAAGGTGAGGGCACGGTGGAAATGAATTGTAATCTCTCTGCAGGGTGCGGACACTGTAAGAAAATGAAGCCAGATTATGAGAAAGCTGCTGAAAAGTTGCATGCGGAAGATGTAGAACCTTTCTAAATATATTTATTTCAGAAATCTTTACTTGTTCTTTTTGATTGGCTGCCTCTTGTGCTTTTACCGCCCCCCCCCCCCCCCCCCCCCCCCTCTTTCTCAGGTACTCACTTAGACTGCACAGTGACTTAGTGATTTAGCTCTGTGTGGAGGCGGCCATCTTGGTAGAGGCAGGGTTTTGCTTCCTCATGTCAGAGCTGCCCCCCCCAATGACTTGTGATCTGATGACTGCGGGGGGGAATGATAGAGGAAAAGATAGCACAGGTCCACAGCATGGCAGAAGCAGGGCGATCCTTGCACTGCCGGTCCTCCGGTACAGTTTCCTCTCCAGCAAGGAGAACAGGGAGAAGCACATTAGTGACATCACCAAATCTGGCGGAACTAGCAGCAGTCCCCGAAATGATCCCACAATGCAGACGTCCAGCTATGAGGAGGCAGTACAGAAGCCATCAATTTACACAGTGCTTTACATACATATCTTGTATATTCACATCAGTCCCCGCCCCCGAGGAGCGTACAATCTAAGCTCCCTAACTCACATTCATACATACACATACTAGGGCCAATTTAGACTGGAGCCAATTCACCTCCTGGCATGTCTTTGCTTTATGGCTAGTAGACCCTCCATGTCTCCCCTGCCCTCCAGTGCAGCTGTTCAAGCACAAATTGAGCTACAGTAGCTGGGGAATGGCAGCCGTGACCCCAGAATCCTCTTGGTTTTTAGCTCCTGGCTGCTCCCCGTTGAGCATTGCCCCACAGGGCGAGCAGCTTTCCCTGGGGGTAACACCACGTGTTCATCCCCAATGTGCTCATAAGACACATAGAGCCGCGGCTCAGCCCCACACCCCCACTCTCTCCTCATTGGGTCACTGTCTGTGATTGACAGCATTGAGAGAACATGGGCTCCCACTACTGTCTCAGCCAATGAGGAGGAGGAGTCCACAGACAGCAGAGGCTGCCGAATGTTTCTGGATCAGAGGGGGCTCAGGTAAGGATTGGGGGAAGAGGGAAGGGGGGGGGGGGCTGCACACAAAAGGTTTTGATTGCTTCTAATCTCAGCTTGAAAAGCATTTCAACATACAGTATATATATTTTTATATATATGTGTGTGTGTATATATATATATATTATACTGCATGATGAAGTGCGTTTTTTTTATATATTACATAATATATGAAGAATATTTTTTTTAAATCTATTCTTCGGGTTTTTTTTTTTTTTTTACATATAAAAAGTCATTTTAACATATATCTGTAAAATGCATTCCAAAAATGTAGATTAAATGTATTTTTGAAGACATACAGTATATTTGAAAATTTATTTTTTAATAACTTTTTCATATATTTTGTAATATATAAAAAAACTAATTTCAACATACAGTGTAATATATTTATATATTTATTTATATAGTTTTATATATATATATATATATATATATATATATATATATATACACTGCATGTTGAAATTAGTTTTTTTATATATTAC